GGCTCAGGCAGGAAACTGACCACGAGGTCCTCAGGCACGCACACATGGCCAGAGAGCCAGGGAGGGGCCCAGGAGCCACGGGCCGTGGCCAGTGACAGACTTGGGAGCAACAAGCCCCAAGGGGTGCTTGGGCAGACAGGACCAGGTCTGCGTAGGCCTGTGCCCTCCTCCCTGGGGAGCACTCACTGGAGGCTTCCGGACCCAGGGAGCGTCTGTTTCCCCGTCACACAGGTAGGTGGTGGGAGCCTCGAGGTTTTGCTGATGGCGGCTGGCAGGCGTGGGGGTGACCTCCTGACTGCCTGCCCACAGGCCCCGGGTGCGGGACAGACAGCCCCATCCTGGGGTTCCAGCATCCCTCTTGGGGCCACCTCCTAGACGTCCGGGGAATCCCCATGTTCCTTCCGGGCAGTGAGGCAGGGCCTTACGCCTCGGGGCTACTGGCAGGTCCCCCTTGGGACCTGGGTGCTCCAGACGCTCCGGGCGCGGTCACGAGTGTGGGTGCTGAGCCTGTGCCCTGCGCTCCACCTGCCACCCTCCCCAGGGCCCTCACTCCCAGGCATGAGGCATTGGAAATGGAGTGGCACCTGGCACCAGGAGGCACTGCCCCCGGCTCTGCCCCTCCCAGTCTCAGCCCCACTGCAGGAGTGCCGGAGAGCCCGGAGCTGGGCCCAGTGATCCGAGCTACACCTCCAGGTCCCTCCTGGCACTCCAAGGGCCTGTGCCTGTCCCTCCAGCAGGGGTGAGCGGGCGCTGCTGCTGCCTGCCACTCAGGTGGCATCTGGGCGGGCCCAGGCCTGTCAGGGCCAGTTCCATGACGTGAGGATGTGGCATGGCTGAGGCATCATTAAAGTCCCTCTCAGGGTGCATGAGTCTGGCTGTGTGGGGTGGGAGGGCCTGTGGCTAACCTCGACTCCGTCCCTGCAGCAGAGGGGAATGGCAGTGGCCACCCAGTGTGCCCAGTGCCCATGTGCTCTTTGGCTCTTGACAGGGGACAGTGCAAGGCCCCGAGAAAGCGCTCAGGCTCTGGGGCGATAGCACAGTGTGTGTGTGTGTGTGGGGGGGGGTGCTTACCATGCACATGGCCAAACAGGCTTCAATCTCCGTTGGTCTCCTGAGCACTGCCAGGAGTGAGTCCTGAGTGCAGAGTGCCCAAACTCCCAACCAGCAACGCACTCAGGTTTCCGAACGCGGGTTGGCGCCCACCCTGGTGACAAGCAGATCCCGGTGGAGGTGCAGACCCCCATGGCCGCCCACCCTTCTCTCCCAGTGAGAGGGGCCAAGCACGGGCCTTGCTGAACAGCTTGATCATTCTGCAAACATCTCCCTGGAGATTGTCACCCTCAGAAAGCCTGCAGGGCTTCCCCGGCCCGGCTGCTCCTGCAGCCCTTACCCCATGCTTGCCCCTGGCGCCGTGCACTCCCTTTCTCCAAACCAGAGGGCAGCCTGGTCTTAAACTGGGAGGAGACAGACCCGCAGGGCCTGGTCTGAGACTTGTGCTGGACCAAGCTGGACCGGTCCAGCGCAAGTCTCAGACCAGGCTCCTTTCCAGGCCCTCGGCAAGCCCTCTCATTTGTGACTCTACTCCCCTTTTGTTCAGTTTGGCATCAATGGGGCACAGAGTGCCCTAAAGTGTGTACGGGAGAACACTCCCTGGGGCCCTGCCAGCCACAACAAAAGGTGCCCGTGTGGACAGGTCACAGGTGATGGTGGAAGCCACCAGGAGTGCTGAGGAAGGTCTTGGTTGTCCAGGACAACCCCGCTGTGTGGGTGAATCAGTTGGTTTTGGTCCAGGGCAAGGCTCAACTCTCACACCAGCACCAAAAAGTCACAAGCTGAACATCTTCAAAATAACTGGGCTTGGGCCGGAGAGATAACAGAGTGGAAGGGCACTTGCCTAATAAGCAGCCAATTCAGGTTTGATCCCCGGCATTCCAAATGGCCTCTGAGCACCACCAGGGGTGATCCTCAAGTACAGAGCCAGGAGTGACCCTTGAGTATGGCCGGTGTGGCCCAAAAGCAAAACAGAAACAACCCCCCCCCCCCAAACTATGGGCTAGTGCAATAGTGCAGCAGGTAAGGCGCTTGCCTTGCATGTGGCCGGCCTGGTTTGACCCCCGGCATCTCATATGGTTCCCTGAGCACAGAGCCAGGAGTAAGCCCTGAGCACTGCCAGGTGTGGCCCAAAACAAAACAAAACAATTATGGGGTCGGAGTTCACCCAGACATCACAGCAGGTAGGGCACTTGCTGTGCATGTGGCTGACCTGGGTCCGACACAGCACCACATGTAGGCCTCCACGCACCACCTGGAGTGATCCCTGAGCACAGAGCCAGGAGGAAGCCCTGAGCACCGCTAGGTGTGGCCCCCAAACCAAACCACAACAACCCAGGCCGGGTCTCTGGGCTTGGTTCCATCCCCCAGTCTCCTGGCTACAGCTGGGTGTGGCCCAAGAGCAGCAAAAATAGGAACTGAGGCAACATTGTGTAAAACTGGGGGTAGGAGGCAGAGAGAAAGCACAAGGTGAAGGAACAGGCTTTGCGAGTAGCTGACTGTGGTCCCACCCGGTTTCCGGAGCCGGCTGGGAACCCTGGAGGCTCAGAACAAAGGTACAGCGGGTGGGAGCTGGCCTTGCAGGCCACTGGCCCGCATCCCCAGCGGCCTCCTGGGCACCACCAGGAGTAGTTCCTGAGGGCAGGGCCAGGAGTAACCCTTGAGTGTTGCGGGTGTGGCCCAAAGACAGACAGACAGAGCGTCCCTAGAGCTCCACTAAGGAGGCTTGCCCTTAAAAGCATTCAATGGGCGTTTGCAACCTTTAGGCAACTCTCATACTCCCAATCACACCTGAGAGAGCACTGCAGGCTCTCAGACCGACGGGGTGGAGTGGGATGGGGTGGGGTGAGGGGCAGCGGCCAGTGGTCAGCAGAAAGCAAAGCATTTGGGCGGGGACGGTGCTGGAAGGCCGATAGGGGCGCCTTCCCCAGATGCCAGGCCCCCAGGCTGAGTGAGGAGGCACTCGAGGCAACACCGGGCAGGGCCCAGGGGTGACTCTGCTCTTAGAAACTCAGTACCTGGGGTGAGGGCGTGTCCCAGGCCCCCTCTCCACACGTGGGGAAGGGGTCCCACCGAGCTCACTGCAGGGCAGGGGCCCGGCACCCAAGGTTCCCTGGCACCATTGGGACCTGGAGCCTCCCAGCGTTGCCCCAAAGGGGCAAACCAGAGTGAGGGGACGGGTGGGGGGGAGCAGGGCCTAGGGGAGACGGCAGGGGCAGGAGTAACCTCCGGGTGATGATTATGGACTGGGGGAGAGGGTTGCCCTGCCAGCCTTAGCCCAGGACACGTGGGTTTCAGACCATGTGATCCCACAATGCACACGGATCCCTGAGCACTGAGCGGGGTGTGTCCAAACACAATAGCAGAAACAGAGCGCCTGCCTCAGTGTCAGGCTGGGGTCACTGCTGGGGGGACGGGGCAGCGGTGAAGGGACTGGCCTTGGGACGATGGACGCCGGCAGCTCAGTCATAAATATCTTTGTAACTTTGTAATTCGTGGTGATTCGGTAAAAAAAGAAGAGAAAACCGAGAGCGGTGTGAGCTGCCACCAAGAGGGACAAGACGGGCCACAGCGGCCACGTGGGCAGGTCGGGGAACCCTGTCACACCCAAGTCCATGGCGGCGAGGTCCCGGGGCCAAGAGGGTTCCGTCAGGCTCACTGAGTCCACACGCTACAGCTTCTTTGGAGGCCATCGCATGCCTGGGACGGGGGCCAGTCCCCAGCCACCCGCGAGCCCACCAGCACCCCTGCCCTGTGCCTCCCTCCCAGCTCTCTGCAGAGCAGCACGCGGTTTGCGGCCCCTAGCAGGACCCCCCCAGACGGCTCAGCATCTCTGACCCTGTCCTTGCACCCACGTGGTGCTCACACCCGAGGGCTGTGCTGGGTGAGTGTCCAGAGGTTGCTGAGCTTCTGGGAGTCTGGCAGCTCGAGCCACTCCCTGTGTCCACGGCCAGGGCATTTCAGCTGGGCACACAGGAGCAACAGCCCCGCCCCACCTCGGGAAGCTGGGCTGGGCCCCCGAGTCTCAAGAGCCTCCGAGAGCCCTGACCCACCTGTGGGTGCTCTAAGAGTGAGCGGGGGCGAGGGCAGGTCGTGTCCACCTGGAGGCAGGTGGGGGGCAGACAGCGGGCTCGGGGTCTAGACATCAAGCTCCAGTACCAAGGGGAAATCCCTTTGCGACCAAGGGTCCAGACCGGTGCCCCAGGAAGGGCCTCCCTGCACCTGAGGGATGGAGCGCTGTGGCCCGGTCAGCTCACACAGGCGACAGGGGACATTTGATCAGGGAGGTGTGAGCACAACAGTAAGTGCCCTCTACTCTGCTCACAGCCCGCGCCTCACAGGGACCCAAAGGCAGGTGGTGGCCTGGTCTTGTCTGTGATGACTCACTCCTTCCTCAGTTTCCCTCCTTCCTCACCAACCTGCAGAGTGTCACTGAAGGTGGTCACAGCCCAGACTCAGGCTGAGGGGGCGCCCAGCTGCCCTCCCAGTGAGGTACGGGGGCCACACTGGCCGGGCACCTCCTGCCATGGACAGCGCTCCCATGGGCCATCCCACTGCGGCTCAGCTGCCCCAGTCAGTGGGGATCCCAGGACTGGAGTGTCGCTGGGGACAACACAGAGACCACAGGATTCCTGGACAGCTTGTCCATGGCTCAGAGCCCAGACCTGTAGGGGCTGGAGCCGGGAGCCCCAGGCCCAGCGTTGGACAGAGCAGCCAGAGAAGGTGGTGGGAGAAGGTGCTCCTAGTCTGTGTCTGTCCCCGCGGGCTTGGTGAATCCTGCCCCAGTTCGGCGGTTCACTGTGGTCACTCAGTCACTGGGGACTCAGGGCTGCATCCGGCCTCAGTCTCCTGGGCAGGCTGGCAGGCAGCGCTGTAGGCTGTCCTCTTCAGAGTGGCCCCGAAAGCTCCCTGGACAGCCAGGGGCCTATGCCACGCTCCTGTCCCAGAGGTCACAGCAACAGGCCCCGGGCAGCAAGGCACAGCAGCAGTAGGGAGAGGGCCAGTAGGGGTGCCGGGGGGCCCCGGGAGGTGCAGGAGCACACCTCGTAGCCGTCCTCAGAGCGGCTGTGTCCCTGCCGGCCGGGCGGTGCGGGAGGCCCGGCCTCTTCAGTTCCCCTGTCCGTCCCCTCAGGGCGGGTTGGCAGCTCTTCACAAACCAGCCAGTCGTGGGCTGTGGGCCGGGGGCACCCGGGGGCCACCTGCAGCTCTCCGTCCAGCACCTTCCAGTAGTCGTCCCCGCGGAAGAAGTAGGAGGCACCTGGGCAGGAGGGGAGCTGAGTGACCCGACTGGCAGGGGAGGGAGGCCAATGGGCGGTCAGTGTATCTCCCGCTTTGCAGGAGCCCGCCATCGGCTGGCAGGGGTGAGGGCCATGAGCAGTGCCAGCGGCGAACCCCACCCTGCCACTCACCATCGGACCAGCGCATGGCTGCATCCAGCGTGCTGGGGAGCCCCGTCCAGGGGGGGCTGGGGGCGGGGTGACCGGGGTCCATGCGCCGTGTGTGCTCGTCATAGCGCCAGTACAGCTGGTCCTTAAAGAAATAAGTCTTGTCACTGTGCGCCCAGGAGAACGCAGCATCGACGCCGCCCGGGGGGAGGCCGAAGTCGGAGACCAGTCGCGGGTAGCCTTCCTCCACGTGGTTGTCCTTGAACACCCAGTACCTGCCGCCTGGGGAGAGAGAGCATGTGGGCCGGGCGCCCCCACCCTGCAGCCTGCTGGGCACCCCGGCCTTTTGAGGGCCGCATGGCAGCCAGCTGCTTGAGTGCCCCTTGGCCCAAGACCCAGTGGACATGTCACCGAGATGCCCAGCTGCCCAGCAGCCCGAAGTGCTCACACTACCTGCCCGCGTCACAGGTCCCTCAGGCTGTGTAGGCACAGACACTCGCCTGTGCAGGGACACGAGCATGGGCCCCAGACAGCAAGAGTGCAAGGAGGCACAAGAGAGAGCCGTGCGGGAGGCGAGAGAAGAGAATGCACAGTGGACCGAGCACCGTGGCTCAGAGCAGCCGGCAGGTGGCGCTGCTGGACAGAGCCGGGAGCCTGGCACCCCTCCCCCATCCCCACCGCCCACTGGCGAGAATCCCCAGATCATAAACTGGGTGACTGAGGGAGTGGAACCCACCCCCCACAGGCAGGCAGCGGCGCGGGGGCAGTGTCCCTGCCAGGCCCTGATCTGCCCTGAGCTGTCTGTGGCGCCCAGACCGTGACGCCCCTGGCGGGAGCGGGGTACAGGTTTGGTGCCTGTAGGGGTGGGGGCAGCCTGCAGGGGAAGTGGGGCCTGAGCGGCTGAGCACACACGCGTCCAGGCCAGGCTCCAAATACACGCCACCCGGTGCGCCTGACACGGGTGACCTCAAGGAGACTCGGGGGGACTGCAAGTCCTCCCCCCTCAGCTGGCCCCTGGGCAGGCTCACGGTCACTTACGGGTGCCATGTGCAGGGTCCAGGGACCAGGGGCAGCCCGGGAGACAGATAGGGCCACCGTGGCAACAGCTGCCATCAGAGCGGGACAAGTGTCCACACCTGAGTCACGGGGGCAGGGAAGTACCAGCAAGCGCTGGTCGTGATCAGGCAGCGCCCTGGCCCAAGGGGGGCACAGGGCCTCTGTGTGCAGGGCTCCTCTGTAGGAAGCAGTGGGGTGCTGCTCGGATACATGCTCTGGGATCCAGGGAATGGAGCCCAGTGGGCCGGTGCAGCGCCTGGCAGGCCCCACACCTGGTGATGCTCAGTGGTTACCCCTGGCTCTGCACTCAGGAATCGCCCTGGGTGCTTGGGGGACCACATGGGATGCCAGGAAATCTAGCCCAGTACTAACACTTTAGTCACTGTACTATTGTTCTAGCCATATTAATTATTCTTTTTAACATTTTTTTTTTTTTTGGTTTTGGGTCACATACTGCAGTGTTCCGGATCATTCCGGGCAGTGCTCAGGGGACCATGTTGCGTGCCAGGGATGAAACCCAGGTCTGCTGCGTTTAAGGCCAGTGTCCTGTCCACTGGACTATGGCTCTGGCCACCCCATCTTCTTGTTCTCTTTCTGGGCCACACCCAGCACTCCTGGGGCATCCCTCCTGGCTCTGTGCTCAGGAACCACACAGGACGCTGGAGATGCAGCCCGGGTCAGCTGCATGCAAGGCCAACGCCCGGTGGGACCCACCTTTGAAGAAGACGATCTTGTGGTCAAGGGGGCGCTCGTACACGGCGTCCACGCTGTCCAGGTGCAGGGGGAGCCCTCGCCAGAATCGGTGCAGGTGTGCCGGCTGCAATGACACCAGCTGCCGATCCCGAGTCAGCCTCCAGAAGTACCTGCCTGGGGAGCGGGGGGAGGCAGAGGCTGCCATGGGGAGCTGCGCTGCAGTGGGAGAGGGCTGCGGGGGGCTGCAGCACAGGGACCTCGCTGACTACCTTTGAAGAAGAAGGCCTCGCCGCGGATCTGGGCCACTGCATCGAAGTGGGTGTGGCACCTGTGAGGTGCATCCGTCCTGGGTCTGCAGGGGTGTGGAGAGAACCAGGTGGGCAGGGGAGCTGGGCCTGAGCCCCACCACAGACCCGCAGGTGTTCCCAGAGCCCACGTGCAGAACAAGAGGCCATGAGAGGAGGTGGGTGCGGGGAAGAACTTGGCGACCTGCAGTCTCCCACGGGGCCCTAGGGAAGCAGGGGCGGCCAGGGCTGGGCTCAGGCAGGGCATGAACAAGAGGTCAGGGACGGGGGGGAAATATTTAAATTTTTGCTACCTAGAGTATCTCGCCCTCACGGCAAAGCCTGGCAAGCTACCTGTGATGTATTCAATATGCCAAACACAGTAACAAGTCTCACGATGGAGACGTTACTGGGCCCGCTCGAGCAAATTGATGAACAACGGGAGGACAGTGACAGTGACAGTTTTGGAACTACACCCAGCAGTGCTCAGGGGTTACTCCTGGCTCTGTACTGAGGGATCACTCTTGGAGGGCCTGGGAGACACAGCTCCAAATTGGGGGACATTTCTGACCCAGTGGGACTTATACTGGCAGGAGAAGCTTTGGCTCGCCCACCCACCTTCCCGAACCCCAGCTCCAGGCATGCAGGGGTGAGTGATGGTTTGTGCTTGTCTGAGGACTATCTGAGGCTGTCTGGGGTTGTTGGGGTCTGTTGGAGGCTGTCTGGGAACTGCATGCAGTGCCTGGGGTCTGTCTGCACACTCTCTGGGGACTGTCTTGGGGTGAGGCTGACCCACTGCTTAGCTCCAGAGCCTCAGCGCCACCTCCAGGTTGGTGGGGTTTACTGTTTCTCACAGCAAGGTGGAGAGGGGGTCACAACTGCCTACAGCAGATTCTGGGGAACCTGTCCTAGAGGGTCCTGGCCCCTGGGAGAGCTGAGAATCCTCCCCAGACTGGGCCTGCAAGGGCAGCTTCTATGTGGCCCTTGGTCTCTGCTCTGAGGGCCATGGGCCATGGCCACTCCCGGGCCAGCTGCCATGCGGGGCCATAATGCCCTGGGATCCCAGTCCCCAGACGACACCCCCACACTGCCAGCCTGTCCCGGCTGTCTTATTTCTGAGGGGTAGCGACCAGCATCACGAGTGGTACCAGCCCAGCACGGGGGATGTCTGGGGACAAGTGGGGCAAGCTGGGTTTCTCTTCCTGCTCTGGACTCTCAGGACTCCCCATCTCTGGTGAAAGTGCTTGGGGGACCACGAGTCCTTGACTTACAGGGTGCTGGACCGGTTGCCAGGGGCATCTGGCAAGAGGGGGGGCTCCTGAGGGTCTGGGGCACCTGGCTGTGCCGTGGGAGACACAGACTCCCTCACGCCTGTGGAGACAAAGAGGCTGTGTGGACCAAGGTCCCTTAGCCCCCCTGCCCAGGCCCCGGGATACCCCGTCCCCACTCTGGGCAGACCCAGAAGAGCTGGAGATAGAACCCAGACCAGATGGCCTGTGAGGACACTGTGCTGGTCAGGGTAATGGACAGACAGGCCCTGGGCACCCACTGAGCAGGAGGACAGAGTCACCTCGGTACCTACAGATCAAGGGATGGGCAGCCGGGCCCTGGGCACCCACACAGGTGTGAGGGAGTGCCCACAGTGCCAGGCGCACTCACCGTAGAGTTGCCAGACGCGCACCCTGTCCTCGTAGGGGAGCTGGTAGCGCAGCGGGTCGCCTACGGGGCCCAGGTAGTAGGGCTGCATGATGGAGCGCACGGCGGCCACGTGGCTCAGGCCGATGGCGTGGCCAAACTCATGGACAGCCACGGCAAACAAGTCCATCCCGTGAGCATCTGGGGACAGAAGGCACGGGGAGCCGGGGACACTACTGGCTGTGCTGAGAACACTTGGCCCCAGGGCCATGCACTGTCCTGCCCACCGGGACCCCCAGTCTTGGTACTATGGCGTCTGCAGACACACCAGCTATTCCAGGGGTCCTGGGTTCTGGGTGCAGGGTCCACTCCCATGTCGCCCTACGAGTGAGCCACGCGCCCCACACCAGGGGCAGGCCCCACGGTCTGTCCGACTACAGTGAAGCCCTGTTTGCTGTGCCCCCATGAGCATGTGGCTTCTCCTCGGCTCAGAGATGCTCCCCCATCACAGGGAGGAGGGCAGCCCAGCTTCCTCAGAACTCAGGTGCACTCACCCCACCAACACTGCCCCCGACTCCTGGGCGAGGCTGCCTACGGGGCACTAAGCAGGGGACAGCCCGTGCTCCCGGGCAGATGGTCCCACAGTGGGGACCCCAGGCCGGTGTGGTGTCCTGCTGTGGAGCTGCCCGCTGCCGCCAGGCACCTACCAGAGGAACGGAAGGTCCAGACCTCGTCGTCGTCAAAGTGCGCATCCCCCGCAGTGCGGTGGTCCCCAGGCAGGAAGGCGTGTGCCAGGGCTCCCCCGGGGCCGTCGAAGGGGAAACGGTCATCGTGTGCTGCCCGGGAGAAGTCCACCTGGATGTCAGCTGCGCTGCCGGCCACCTCGTGGAAGTCGAGGGGTGCAATGTCGCTCCAGACCTTGAGCGCGTAGTACATGAGCGCCCGCACTGTGTCCCGGCCCAGCTGCGAGTCCCGGGGGAACGTGCGGACCCTGTGTGAGGAGGGTGCACGTGGGTTACCGCCCTCCCTGGGGGACCCTATGCTCGCTGGGGGGGCAGCTGGACAAGAAGGAGGGTGACCAGGAGGCTGGGACCCTTCCACACAATCATGTGTCAGCGAAGTCGCAGTCCAGGTCTCCGGCAGTTGCTCCCAGCCCGCCCCACTGAACAGAAACCTCTAAGCTGGCTGGGACCCCCCCACCGCACCTCCCCCCCACAGACACACTGACACACACACACATACATACACACGCACACATGCACTGCAGAAAGGGGTCTGGGGCCACCTGGGTGAGCAGCTTGATCTCCTCCAAGCTCGTGAGCACCAGGACCCCTTCCACACACTCACGTGACACCGAGAGGCTGAGAGGGGCTCACAGGGAGCCACCGAGGGCTGGGGTGGGGTGGGCACACTCCTGCCCTGGGGAGGGGATATGCGCCTGTACCCCAGGACGGGGTGGGGTCTGCCACACACCTCCAGGACAGGCTCCTTTTGTTCCACCTGGCAGGGACTGGGGCCTGGCGCCTCTTGCGGGCTGAACTGGAGTCTGCCAGGATGTCGGGCAGGGAACAGCGCGGGGTCCTCATCAGTGCCAGCGTGGCCTCATCTGCAAGTGTGAGCGAGTGAGGGGTTAGGTGGTGCCCCTCCCCCAACCCGCCACTCTGGGCAGCTTGTGGTGCAGGTACCATGTTCAGCTCCTGTCCCCAGGCTGACCACCGCAGGCGTTCTGCAGGACAGGCCTCACCAATGGCCACTACATCCTCCCGCCAGGACCCACACATGCAGCATGATTTGTGGTAAAGCCAGCCTCGTCAGAGGGGTCACAGCATGTCTGCCCAATCAGGGGTCACGGGCACAGCAGCTACTAGGGTGCAGTGTCTCTGGCCTCCTGCAGGTCAGCACCATGGCCCCACTGGCAGGATGACACTCAGCTGCGGGCCATCCCCTGGGCCGGGTGAAGCCTGAGCACATGCTCTGCCCTCGGAAGGTGCAAGTTCAACCCCCGAGCATTGCAGGGTGACCAGGGCACAGAGCCTTGCTGACCCCAAATCAAAGCAAACCAATGTAACTGGACTCAGGCCAAAAGCCGGGTTTCTGGGAAGCGAGAACCTGGTTGTACGTCTACACCAGGTCCATGCCACGCCACCCCCGTGCCCAGCTTGGGGGCGGGGGGACACGGAGGGCCCCACGGGGGTCTCCTGCGCCTGGGAGAACTGACCCAGCAGCCCCGTGGCCTCCAGGCCTCCAAACTGCTGCATGGAGGAGATGGCGCTGGACAGCTCTTCCGGCGTCTGCAACGGCTGGGTCTCGGGGTCTGCTGGGGGTAGGTAGCCGAACCTGCGTAGCCACTCCTGGGGGTGGAGAGCAAGTGAGGGCTGGGAGCAGGCGCCCTCCACACCCCTCAGCCAGCCTGTCACTGAGGGCAGTGCCCACTGGACAGCTCCCATGCCTGGGGTGCAGCATTGGCGGAGTGCACGTCCCCGTGGCTGGTGAGAGCCTGGCGGAACAAGCCTCAGGTGCTGGTGACTGGGTGCAGGGGTGGGCAGGCACCTGGGGCCCAGCTGCGGCGAAGTCACTGGCTCCCTGCTGTGAATTTTAGGGCACTTTGGCAGCACTCAGGGGCACCCAGGCCGTGCCTGTACCTCCCCTGGCCCCGGCTTTCCTTGACCCTCAAGGCTGTCATAACACTTGGTTCCCTGCACCCTCTTCCAGGGCCTCGAACTGATCGGCAGGGGTGGGGGGCTCCCCCAGCGACTCGCAGAGCTGCCTAGGTCCCCCTTCCCAGGAGCTGAGGGTCCTCTCTGGTTCTCTGCCCCTCTCCCCTCCCTGCAGCCCCAGTGTGCCGGGGGACCCCTGTCTGGCCACAGTGGAGGCCCGAGTCCCTCTGCTGGCGGGGTCTGGGGTGCAGAACTGACCCTTTCTGGGCAGGTTCCCACTGGACACCTGGGAGTCCCCGTGTGTTGGAGGCCAGGTCGCATCTTACTGGGCAAGTGGGGGGTGCAGGCACGGGGTGGGTGGGGGGCGCAGGGAAGAGCCGGCGGAGTTCCCACTGGAGCCTGGTGGGGCGCCCAGGCCTCCAGAACCCGGGGCTGGAGGGGCGGCCAAGCGGGTGGCCAGGCAGGGGGTGGCCGGGCTGCAGTGTACATGAACATGGGGAGGCCAGGGCGAGGGCGACCGTGCAGGGGGCAGCCAGGCGGGGAATGGCCAGGGCGGGGGCGGCCAGGCAGGGGTGCGCGAGGCTGCCCTGCGCAAGGGCAAGGGTGGCGAGGGCGGACAGGCGGTGTCCAGGCAGGGGCGTGCACGGGCAGACCCCGCCCTGGACCCGCCCACCCGTCCTCCCGCTGTTGCCACAGCGACCGCGTCTCCTGGGCAACGGGCTGCTGAGGGAGGGCGCTGCCGGAGCTTCTGGGGAACCTTCCAGAAGGCCAGCGAGGGGCGGGGCCCACCAGAACATTCCCCCCAACCCCGGGGACCATGCTGGACCCACAACAGGAAGGGTGGGCAGCTGCCTGGGCCGCGTCCCTCTGACCTTCGCTGACCGCTGACCGTCACCGAAGCCCCAGGGTCTGCCAGGTGTGGGACGGGCAGTGGGGGCCGGGTGTGGGCACTGGGACTCGCTGAGTCCTGGCGCCCGCGGAGGCAGGAGAGGACAGTAGGCAGTGTCCACGTGGAGACTCTGCCTCTGCTGCCCCACTGGAAACAAACTGCAGGTTTGTTTCCCGGAGACGACCCAGCGCTGCGGGGCTGGGACTGCACGGTACCCTGGTACCACATCCGGCTCCCAGGCCAGGCTCGGGGCTCTGTCCCTGCTCTGCACTGCCGGCCTGAGGTGCTCCGGCCTGAGGTGCAGGAGCACGGAGCTGAGCCCCACAGACACCCCTGCCATGGCCGGGGGGGAGGGGGGGTCACCAGGAGGAGGTGACACCAGGTTTCTGACCTGCCGCCCACACCCCACCCCAGCCGCTGCCCACGGCCTTGCTGCCTCCAGCTCCCTCCCCACTGCTGGTATGCTGGGTGGGGACCCAGGGGCCCCTGGCGGAGATAGCTGGGGAGGAGGCTCCCCACTGGCCCCTTGGGGCTTGGTGCTCAGGCTGGTCCCGCTCACCCCACCAGGCTTAGCCACAAACCACCGTCACCCATGTGCTGACCACAGGGACAGCCTGGGCGGGGACAGAAATTCCAGCAGGAGCTTGGGGGATAGGTTGGCACCTGCCCTTCCCACCCCTGCATACCCAGCCCCACCCCTGCTATCCTGTCCTCCTGCCCACCATCACCCACCCCCATTATACTCACCATCCTTCTCCCTCTGCCATCCGGCCGATCATCCTCCCATCCCGCCCACCGTCCTCTCCCTGCACCCTGCCCCTGCCTGGGGAGCCACCTCTTGGGAAGGGGCATCAAAGTCCCAGATGGGGATGGGATGTCCCTGAAACCAAGCATCACCCAGTGGACAGATGCTACTAGGAAGATATAGATGCAGGGGTGTGACACGGGCTGGCAACAGCCCCAAAAGGAGGGGTGAGGCCTCACCAAGCTGGAGGGAACATGGGCCATGGCGCTGCTCTGGCTGGGGTCACTGCCTGGGTTAAGACAGAACCCAGGCCTGAGGGCGCACTGTACCCCCTTGCACAGTGGGCAGCTGGGGGACACAGTGGGCAGCTGGGAGATACAGTGGGTAGCTGGGGGCACAGTGGGCAGCTGTGGGGACACAGTGGGAAGCTGGGGGGGTTACAGTGGGCAACTGGGGGGACGTGGGCAGCTATGGGGACACAGTGGGCAGCTGGGGGCATAGTGGGCAGCTGGGGGACACAGGGTAGCTGGGGGCACAGTGGGCAACTGGGGAACACAATGGGCAGCTGGGGGACACAGTGGGTAGCTGGGGGGACACAGTGGGCAGCTGGGGGGGACACAGTGGGCAGCTGGGGGCACAGTGGGCATCTCGGGGTACACAGTGGGCAGTGGAGGGACAGCTTGGGAGGGGAACAGTGGGCATCTCAGGGGCACAGTGGGTAGCTCTGGGGGGTAACAGTGGGCAGCTCCGGGGCACAGTTGGCATCTCGGAGGGCACAGGGGGCAGCTCTGGGGGGCGGTGGGCATTTCCCTTCCACACACACCAGGAACAGCTCCAGGCCTTGCCCCCAGGGCACGTTGGGCTGCCCCCTTTTGTCCCTGCACCCCCCGCCGGAAGCCCATGGCTGGTCCCAACGGGCTCAATCCAGCGCTTTGTTCTCCCGTAAAGCGGGGGTGGGCCCGCGGGGCCCCTCGTGGCGGCCCGGCCCGGGTGGCGCGCACAAAGGGGCCCTTCTCCTCGCCCGGGCGCCCGCAGCCGCGGACGTGCCGTTCCCCGGACGGCCGCCAGGGGGCGCCCTTGGCCCAGACACAGCCGGCGGCAGGCCCGGCCCGCGTCCCCCGGCGTCCCCCTCCCGCGGGCCCAGCGCCACGGCCCTGCGGGCTGCGCGCTCCGGGCTGGGCGCCCCGGGGAGCCCCAGGGCGGCGGCCAGTGCGACTCCGGACCCGCGCGGCCTCACGCGACTTGGCTGCAAGCCGGGACCCGGCCGGCCGGACCCTACACCCCGGCGGACCCCCGTTACCCCGGCGGACCCCACCTCCCCGCCCGGACCCCCGTTACCCCGGGCGGACCTCCGTTACCCTGGCAGGACCCCACCGCCCCGCCCGACCCCCGTTACCCCGGCCGGACCCCACCGCCCCGCCGGACCCTCGTTACCCCGGCCGGACCCCACAGCCCCGCCGGACCCCTGTTACCCTGGCCGGAACCCCATCACTCCAGGCGGGCCGGACCCCCATTACCCCGGGCCGGATCCCATCGCCCCGGCCGGACCCCCATCACTCCGGGCCGGACCCCCACCAACCCGAGCGGATCTCCATCACCCTGACCGTCCTAGACCCCCGTCACTCCGACCGGACCTGCCCCGATCACCCCGGCCGGCCCGACCAGCGTGGCCCCGGCCAGCTCCCCATCAGCCCGGCTGGTCCCTCACCCCGGGGAGCGTCCGGCAGCTGGAAGAGCGATGGGCGCTGCCCTGGTCCGACCTGGGCACACTGTGCTGTGCCCCGGGATTCACCCCGGAGGGGCCCAGAAACAGCAGCTGCGAAGGGCCCGGAGAAGTGGACACACGCCGCCAGGCTGCCCGGAGCCGGGCACTCAAGTGGCCCCGAGCCTCCCCCGACGACTGCTGGACCAGGCGGTGCGGGTGGCGCGGGCGGCGCGCCGGGCGGGGCACCCGGGAGATGCCACGGGCGGCGGGGTGGGGGTCCCGCTCAGCGCCTGGCGGCCAGGAAGCCCCGGACCGCGGAGGCCGCGAGAAGGGGGCCGCCAACTCAGACCCCGCGCCCCCGGGACAGCGGGCGCAGTGGGGGCGCGGGGGTGGTCCGGGCCCCTGCGGGCGAGCAGCGGGGATCCCCCCAAATCGGGGACCCCTGGCCTCCGGGGAGCCCACGCCGCGCAGCCCCCGCGCGCCCTCCCCGACCGCCACGCACCAGGGCGCCCTGCCCCGCGCAGCGCGACCGTCCCCTCCTCGGGCGACTGCGGCGCTCGGGGGCAGCGGGCACCGGCCTGCAGCCCGCGCGGGGACGCCCCCGCCGGCCCCGGCCCCGCACGCACTCACCACTCCCAGGCGGAGGTCCTCGGCGCGGGGCGCGGGCGCGGCGCAGACCCCGCGGGCCGCCAGCGCCACCAGCGGCAGCAGCAGCGGCAGAGGCGCGGGCCGGGGGCCGGGGCCGGGGCTCCCACGCCCCATCGCGCCGCCCGAGCGTCCGTCCGGCGCCTCCCGCGCTCCGCGCCGACTGAGCCGCGCGCCTCCGCGGGGCGGGGCACGCTAATATATGCTAATGACGCCACGAGGGCGGGGCATGCAAATGTATGCTAACGAGCCGCGCGGGGCGGGGCACGCTAACGTATGCTATGGACGCCCCGCGCGGGGCGGGGCATGCTAATGTATGCTAACGAGCCGCGAAGCCGCGGGGCGGGGCACACTAATGTGTGCTAATGACGACGTCGCGAGGGTGGGGCATGCTAATATATGCCAACGAACCGCTAAGCAGCGGGGCGGGCATGCTAATATATGCTAATAGAGACGCCGCGCGGGGCGGGGCATGTTAATATGTACCAAGGTACCGAAAGCTTTTAACGTGGCCCCGCCCGCCTTAAAGGGGCCACGCACTCCGTGCCCAGGGGGGCGCCCGCCCGATGGGAACCTCGCAGACGACCTCCCCAGACCAGCTTTCCACCCGCCCTGCGATCGGCTGGCCTGTCGGTTCGGGGTCGCTCGGCGGAGCCCTTGCGCCGCGGGAGGAGGGTGTGCGCGCGGGGGCGAGTCCCCCCGCACCGCCGCCACCTGGCCGCGCGTGCACCGCAGCCGCTCCGGGCTGGACGCGGGCGCCGTGCGCAACAGCCGCGCGCTGCCAAGTGCAGAGCGCCTCTGGCGAGGCGGCCGGGAGTGTGGCACCCTGTCCAGGTACTCCAACTGTGGTTCTGCTCAAATGCGCATGTTGCATCAGGACAAGTTGGCCGAAACCCAGACAAACTGGGCCCAGAAGGGCAAAATCTTGGCGGGTTCATTAAACGCGCGGCCCCAGAGCACTCGGACCCCGGGGAGTTCAGCTGCGGGAGCGGGCTGGGGGGCCTTCAGAACCTTCCTCTCCCATCAGGCGCAGTTCTGCTCAGAAGGGCTCCCCGGAAGGCTGCCAGGGCTGGCGGAGGGGGCACGCCACCCTTCCCGCTCCTGCTGCAGCTGTGGTGGGATGGAAGGTCCCAGCAGGCTGCACTGCCAGCAGCAAGGGGGCGTCCCAGAGAAACCCGGGGTGCTGCCGTCACAGGGAGGGGGCTCAGAGGGAAGCTGGATCCACAGGGCCCGCCCTGTGGTGGTGTCTGGTGGCCCTGGGAGAGGCAGACGCCAGATGGCTGAGTGTCCTGGGCACACAGGGACATGCAACCCTCTGCTGCGGGTCACACGCAAGGCACAGGCCAGACTGCGACATGTGAAGGGTGCCCTGGCCAAGTGGGGGTTGTGGGGCTGGTGCTGAGGTTACCAACTTCAGCTACCAGCTGAAGCTTCCAAGTGCATTTCCTGTGGCCCCACCATGTGTCTTGGGGAAACGACACATCTTGGAAAGGGGAGACTAAAGAGGCAACAGTTCTCTCCATGGCCTGTTGGTTAGTGAGGGCCCCTGCACACCATCTTCACGTCTCTCAAAGGGGCTGCCCTGGGGGCGATTCCCTTCTAGAACAATGCCGTCACGGGGTCACATCTGCTTCCAGCCCTTCCCAGGGGCCCTGCCTGGTGTGCTCTGTTGTTGTAAACAGAAACATGCACCATTTGGCTGGGGTGCAGAGCCACTTCAAGGATGCACCCTGGTGACTAACCCTGAGATAATTCTGTCCCCTGATCTCCCATCCACACTCTGCTTCCGGTTGGTAACCTCAGGACCATTCCAGGAGTGGGGGAAACATTTGCAGAGAAAGAAAAGTGCCTTTGGCACACTACTTCTGAAGCCAGCCCAGAAGCCACGGAGAGAGGGATCATAAGTGTTCATGAACTACACCGCAACCACCTGGAGAACAATGCAGGAGGAGCAGCTCCCGGTGGAAGCTGGCGCCCCACTTGGCAGTAAGCATGTGGCTGTAAGGGATGTGGCCCTAAGGGACATGGCCAGGAGCACTGCAGCACAGTCTGGTCCCAGAGCACTGTTAGGAACGAGCCTGGAGCAGAGCCAGCAGTATGTGCAGTACTGGGTACAGCCCCCAAATGAAACAGGAAACAGGTGGATGAGATGAAAATGATACTTTACTTGCTCCAGCACCCGCTCCAGGGGACGCCCTGCCCTGTTGCCAAGGTCCTGCATGTATGGGAACAAGGGCACGGCTGCAGTGACCTTCCTCCCACCGCACGGCAGGTCTATGCATGCTGTTGCCTTTCGGGTGGTGAGATCAGGGAAGGAACTATGGACTGTGGGTGGGCATCCTGCAGGCCAGGGGGGTGATGGTGCCGTCCTCTGCTATGGCCTGCTGTGGACTCACACCTTGCCCACCCAGACCTGTCTCTCTGCACCCCAGGACAGCTTGGGAGGGGTGCCAGGTCTCTCTACCCACGATCCTGAGATACGTGTCCAGGAAGTAGTGAGTCACTTTGCAGGCAGCCTGAAAGGATGTGCTGGAGTTCTGCTAAGCTGCTACAACAGATATGGCCTCAGAGAGGAAGGGGCACATACGAGTCTGTCTGGGCCACAGTCCTTGGCTCTGTGCTGGTGGTGAAGGCGCTGGACACTGCCCTAAGCAGGAGAGGAAGGCCCTGGGACACCAGCAGGCCACTGCCGGAGGTAACGCCATCAGCCCCGGGGTGGGGCACAAGCGACAGAAAAACACTCAGGCAGACAAGGAGGAAACCACCCCAAACTGCTAGCTAGAAAAGGTGTTTTTCTCCCATTTTATTTGATAATACATTTTCACAGAAACATGATAGTATTTACAAATATACAGGCGAAGAGACTGCTAGTCAAAAACCTTAAACTGAAAATGTCATCAAAAGTGACTTTACAAAACCGCCGAGTCTGAGGGTGTGAGGGTCCCCTGCGCCGCGTCTCAGGAGGCACTGGTCTGCATGTTTTTGGAAGCTGCGAGCATTGCTCTGACTTTGGCCATGAGGTCCTGTGCCAAGAGAGGGAATGTTCCGTGAGGGGGACAAAACACAGCCAGAGGCAGGTTTACCTCTGGAGAGGGCCCCACCCCTCACCCCGCAGTGGAAGCAGGGAGGCCCTAAGGGAGGGACAGGAGTTAAGCGTGGCCAGGGTGAGGCCCGATCAGCTTGCCTCACCTGAGTGATTTTGCTCTGCACAGAGGACACGATCGCCGAGGAGATCTGCCCGTCCTTCTCCTGAGAGACCCCCCTGCAAAGAGCGTGTAGGTCAGTCTGGGCAGACACCGAACCCTCTTGTCAAAGTATCCCAATTCCAGCAAGTTCCCGGGAACACACAGCAGCATGCTGACAGGAAGTGCAAATGGCCCCACCTCAACACTAGGGGGCGGCCCCGAAGAAACCTGCTTCCAGAACATCTGGGTACAGCTGTGCCACCCGGCAGCCACCAATAAAGAACCACCAGTTGGCCTGGCCCATGGCTATGATGCCCACAGGGTGTGACCAGGGGACACTCCACTTGGATGGACGTTTTGAGCCGGAGAAGCTCTGGTTTAGCCGGGCCATTTGTAGCTTATGGGGGTTTTGGGTCCCCCAGAGCCGGCCCTTATTCCTTAGGGGATCGCCAGGTCCAGAGCAGATATTTCACAGGACAGTATGTGCCCAGGGGGGTTACCTGGAACGTTCCTGACTGGAACCCCGACTCTCCACGGGAGAGATGCTAGCCGAGTGCCGGCGTGGCGCCGGCTTGCTTGGGGATGGGGACCGCGATCTGGCCTTGGACTTGGTCCTTGACCGGGAGCGCCTCTTCTTCTTCTTCTCGTGGGGGCTTCTGGAAGGAGAGCATGTTTAGACAGACACCGAGGCAAGGGCTCAGGACCTTGGGGAGGCGCCTGAACCAAGGCACAAGGGTGGTGGGGCTGGTTCAATGCGTGCAGGGCAGAGCAGGAGAGCCAAGGCCTGCCCTGTCCGCACTGTGCGGGCCCCATCAAGCTCCCACTTCCCGAGACACTGCGTGGCCACGCAATGATTCCCTGGTCACCTAGCTCGCTGCCCACAGCAAGCCTCCTGGAAATGCCCGCTCACCAGCAGGACACGGTGCCCATCAGCAGAGCCGGGGCCTTCACAACAGCCCTTCTGACCGGGAGTGCGGTCTGGGGGCTGGAGACACAAGTGCTGCCCGACTGAGCTGCCATCTGCTAAACAGATCACAGGCTGCTACTCTGAGCCAATGTGATGGTGTCACGGGTGGGGTGGAGCATCTCCTCAACCCGGCAGTTTCCCCCAGTGAGCTCTGGTCAGGGCTGCTTCACGTCATCACGCCCATTTCCCTTCTGCTGGCTTCAATTCCTGATGCCTGAGTTGTGGCTGTTTCCTGGAAGCCTGTCCTTGCCCGCTGCTCTGTCCACGTGTCCTCTTGTCCAAACCACTGAGCCCTCCCTTGGCACAGATGGCCTACCACACCACTCCCAGTTCCAGTGGGATTCCTGCTGCTTCCCACCCCAGGGTGCCTGGAAGGGTGGGCGGGGAGTTTCCATCAATGACTCTAGCCTGGGGGATCCCACGCCAAAAGGCTTTCTGATGTTCTTTTCTAGAAAAGCCTTACGAGTTGAATGGAACTGCAGCTGACCAACAGATGAATCTGGAGAGCAAAACAGAAACCTGAAGAGTCCTGAACCTTTTAGTCCATCGTTAATCAGCTTTCTGTTCTTTGTGTCCGCAACCATTGGTACTCAGGACTCACTCCTGGCACAGCCTGAGGAGTGAGGGCAAAGCAAGCGCCTTACCTGCTGTGCCAGCTCTCCCGTCTCGAGGCTCCTCCCGAGCTTCTAATGTTAAGTTCTCATCTTTCCTGCTCATAAAGACCTTGTGCCTATCTTGTCCCACAGGCGGTTCAGTTGATGCGGTGATACGGTCACTTAAACTTCACCTTCCTTTGTTATTTGGATTTTGGGGCCACAGCTGACCAAGCTTAACCCTTACTTGTGGTAGCTTTGCAGCTGTATTTCCCGTCAAAAAATACAGATGGTATGGGGGCTGGAGTGGCAGTACAGCAGCTGGGGCCTTCCCCTTGCACGTGGCCAACCCAGCCTCGATCCCTGGCAACCAGCATGGTCCCCAGAGGCCCCCTAGGAATCTGATGAT